ATGTCGGCTGCTGAGACGAGCTGGACTGAGCTGCTTGTCATTTTAAAAAGAACAGTAGATAGGCAAGACAGAAAGACAGAGAAAACTGATCTAATTTTAAGATTAGGCGAAAAAGCGCTCCTAATTAGAGCAGACCCTGTGACTTGCGCTAGGTATTTGGCCTTTCGAAATAGGCAGATACTGAAAGTCATGAAGAATAAGGGCGTCTTTTTGGTGAGCATAACGTTGTTAGGTAAGTTAGGTTAGTTCTTCCCATATACGTGGCATGTTCTGGCTTAAAATGCCCCGGCCGTGGACTTCGACAATGAAGCACCTATTTCTCCAGTAATAGCCATCATTTATCATTTCGTTAGCACAGATATAACAAATACTGCATTAGCTCAGTTTATAAAATACCAAAAGCATAATCATGGGCATTCATGCATCCGAGAAGTTAGACGAAACTCTTTTTGTCGCTTTGGTATTCCATATCCTCCAATGCCCAAAGCAGAAATTTTGGAGTCACTGCCTGAAGAAACTGGTAACATTTCTCTTCAACGCGAAAATTTAAAGAAAATTCAAAATGCTTTAAATTTCCCGTTTAACTCTAATACTATTGGTCACTTGAGCATATTCGAAAATTTTCTCTCTCACGATCAAGTGAGCCTCAGCTACGAGGACTATAAATATGCTCTTAGGTCTTATATCAGCAATTTTTCAGTCCCTCTCACATATTTATAATCGGAGACCTGGTTGCAACCCCACAACTGCAAAAATTTTACTGTGCCCACCCACAGGAAAAACAGCATTTGGAATTGGGGGTTCCACCCTTCATTCCATGTTTTCACTTCCAGTGAACCAGTCCGGGTCGTCATTTAAAGATTTAGGTGCAAATTTGTTAAATCTCCTGCGTTCGAGATTCATTGATCTTAAACTTCTTATAATTGACGAAATTTCAATGGTCGGTGCCAAAATGTTTTCACAATTGGATAGTCCTCAAACAAATTTTCGATGACAGAAATGTCCCATTTGGAGGAATATCTGTTATAGCTTACGGCGATCTCAGACAACTACGTCTTGTAGGAGATCGATGGATATTCAAATCCACTTTTTTGAACTCATAGAGATAATGCGACAGAGAGACGAAAGCCTTTGAAAAACACTTAATAACATGGCATCCGATCAAATGTCGTCAGAGAATATTAGTTTGTTTAGGTCCAAAATTTTCAGTGTCCGTGAGGTTCCAGGTGATGCAATTCATCTGTTTCTTAGAAATGAAGATACAAATGCTTTTAACACTGTAAAATTGCAATCGATTGCTACAGAACAGCATATTTCAGTTGCTCTTGATTTCATCAAGGCCGCACACCTGAATGGTGAAAGTAAGCAAAAAAAATTAGAATCCGTCAAGAATTTTAAATCTTCTCAAACTCAAGGGTTGTCCACAACTCTGATTTTGAAAGTCAGTGCAAAGTATATGATGACGGTCAATGTAGATACAGCAGATGGTCTTGTCAATGGAGCCACAGGCGTTTTAATGGAAGTAGGATTCAATGCACCCATTTCCCCTCATATTCTTTGGTTTAAATTCTTAGATGACAGTGTAGGAGTAAATGCTCGAGCTAAGTGTTCACATCGCGTAGAGCCTTCTTGGACCCCAGTTTTGAAAACGACTAAAAGTTTTCAGTATTTATGAAATGAGCAAATTACTTTTGACCGCAATCAATTTCTAGTTATAGCCGCAGAAGTTACTTCACACTCACTTTGACAATCTATTTGAAAATTCAATTTTCAATGTTTTCTTTCACAATACGGAAAGTTTGCACTGTCACATTAGCGATATTTGCTCAGATCAGCTAATGCTGATATAATCTTATGTTTAGTTGAGGCTTCCACATACTCAAACGAAACATGTGAAATTCCTGCCTTTACCAGTGCAGTGCGCCTAGATTGTCCGCAAGTAACTGGTACACCCCGACCAAAAAGAGGCATTCTTGTATTCGTTAGGAATGAAATATTTGAGAATGTTAGTCTTTGCTTCAGTGGTCGGTACTTTGCTAATTCCGAAAAATGTACGTTCTGCAGTATTTGAGTGTGCCGTGTTAAAATATAGGTCTTTAGGTTTAAAACAGAGTTTGAGAATTTATTTCGGAACTTTCCATGTTTAGATGAGTGTTAGGAGATTTTAATATTTGCCTACGGTCTCTGTCAGGGTGCAGTAGGAGCATGTATGATTTTTTAGGTAGTCATAGTTTTCGATTTTTGTTCGATTTGAATACGTCTACGACCAAAAGTGATACACATATTGATTGGGCGTTTCAAATATTTCAGATCGCAGGGCCCCAGCGCGCACCTATGAAATGATTTATCTCCACCATAGTGGAATTAAAGTTAGTTTGCAGGAGAATTAAGATTTGTATAATTTAATTATTTATTACTTATTTATTTATTTATATTTATTTTATTTTTTAAATTTATTTAATATGCTTAATTTATTTTAATTTTTAAATTTATTAAGTATTTATTAATAACATACTTTTTTTTAGTTTTGGGGAACATAGGAGTTGTATTTGCACAACTTAAGTCGACTTGTAGGTCTGCAAAAAAAAAAAATAGTTTTTGCTAAAGGACCCCATTGCGTTAGTAATGGCCCCCCCTTGGTGTTCCCTGGGTACCGATTAAATTCATTAATCGGGAGCCAATTCGAGCGGCTACACTAACATAATCATATATATATACAAATTAATATAATGTACTTACCTATGAAAAACAAGTAAAAAGGTTGAAGTCGGGTGTCCCGACTTTGAAATACTCTGCACATTTGTTTAAATTAACTATAGATATATAAACAAGAGAGAACGCTACAGTCGAGCAAGCCCGACAGTAAAATACCCTGTACTCTCCACAAAAAGGAAAAATTAAAAAAAAAATTTTTTTTTAATTAAATTATTTAAAAATATGAATTAATTAATTAATTAAAATTAATTAATTAAATTAAATTAGAATACATGTTTATGTTCAGTTTTAACAGCATACATTTACATCACGTACCTATGCGTGTTTATATGCGTGTATGTATGCAGCACAAAGTTGAACCAAAGCAGCAACAACAACAACAGCTGCGGGCAGCGCTGCCGACAGAGCTGCAGGCAGCGCACTTACTTATGGCTATAACTTTCTTCAGAATTGACCTATCATGATGAAATTTAACACACGGACACATTAGTACTAACTGGGGTGTATCAGAAAAAATAAACAAACTCGATCTGCCTAGGCCTTATAGGAACCTTGATACCAATTTTGGTTATCCTAGCTCTTGTACTTACTGAGATCCTTGCGCTCATACAGACAGACGGACAGACAGACAGACGGACAGACAGACAGACGGGCATGGCTATATCGACTCGTCTTGTCATCCTGATCAAAAATATATATACTTTGTGGGGTCTGCCACGCCTCTTTCTGCCTGTTACATACATTCGCACAAAACTAGTATACTCTTTCACCCTTTGGGTACAGGGTATAAAAATTAAGAAAATTAAAAAAAATTTAATCGGGTGTATAATTGTACATATACAAAGCAATTGCGTCTATGATAGTGTATAAATGCTTATGCGCGTCTATTTGTGTCTGTGTGAGCATGTTTGCAGTCAACCAAAGCACCAGCATCAACAACAACTGCGGGCAGCGCTTGGGCAGCAAATACTTGTATATTTATGGCTACAACTTCTTACACCTATTATTGTGTCCAGCTGTGTATGTAACACACAGAAGGAGGTCTGACAGACCACACAAAGTATATATATTCTTGATCAGGATGACAAACCGAGTCGATATAGCCATGTCCGTCTTTCTGTCCGTCTGTCTGTATGAACGCAAGGATCTCAGAAAGTATAAGAGCAAGAATAACCAAACATGGTATCCAGATTCTCTTGAGCCCGAGAAAGAACGAGTTTGTTCATTTTTTCATTCCACTCCCAGTCCCCCCCTATTCGTGAGTTTCTATAACTCCCGTAATTCTTGAAATTTTTAACCAATATTTGGTAGTCACATCCAGTGATTATATATCCGTGTACCAAGTTTCATTATAATAAGTTGATTAGAAAGAAAGTTATAGTCATATAACCAGGCCCAAGCTGTGTCCGCATCTGTATTTGTTGCTGCTTTGACATAACTATGTGATGCACACATACATATGTGCAAGTACACAAACACGCATAGACACGATTCTGATGTAAATGTATGTATGAAATATTTTATATTTAATTTAATTAATTATTTAAATTAATTCTTTTTTTTTTATCATTTATTTGTGGAGTATTTAAGAGTTGAGTGACATCAAGACATCTTTTTCTAAAAATGCGCTTAATTTATAAGGTGGGATGCCAAAAGAATGCAATGAAAAATGCCTTGATGTTTGGCTCAATTACAAAGAAACACAGACTTTCTATGGGACAAACAAAATTGGTTTTGTAAAGCTACCGAAGAAAGAAGCAGCGCTGTGCTTTTTTCTTGCTCAGCATACAGCAATAGCGCAGATTGACCGCGTTTGAAGAACATCCGAGCAAGACTTAACGTTTGCTAACTGAAACTGCACGCGCATCAATTCGAGAAAACATATGTAAATTCTGAAGCCATGTCTACGGGGCAGAGCTCCGCTGCTGCCTCCTCGACACTGCGCCGCGATATCGCTAGTTGCAGTTTGAGGTATTCAACAGAAAAAATTTGTAATTTCGTTTTAGTCCAGATTTTGCATAGCAATAAACACCTATTAGTCTAATAAAAAGTTAATTCCATAAAATTAACTTGTAACAAACTTTTTTGTTCACTTCCATCGTTTCAACATCGTTCATAACCGGCGTTACCATGCCAAGGCACTCAATTTAGTTATAGACCGCGTTTGAAGTAAGTAAGAATACATGTAAAATATCGATATCGGAATAAGAAAAAAATATATGTATATTGAAAGTATTGATAACATAATCGATAGTTTGACTTTCTCTTTATATGTGCGCATTGTTTATTATAACAAGAGCCAACAAAAACGTGCGGCGCAATTGCATATTTTGGGATTGGCTGAAAATTAGTATTTTGTATAATTCTAATTCTGTGTACATGTTTTTAAAATAAAGGATAACAAATATTTGTACTTATGTATGTATTTACACCTTTTACTTACATACATACATATGTATGAGTGCACTTGTACATGTGTAAACTGCTTTAATTTGTTCATTTTCGTCCTGATCTTAAACTCCGGACGCAAAAATCTAAGGTATTCATGTTAATATATGTATATACATAGATATTCATGTATGTAGGTACATGCAATGCATACAATAAGTATATGTACAGTGGGCGAGAAAAGTCTACATACGACCCAATAATTTGCTACCTGCCATAACCAAAGGTACTTATTAAAAAACTAACGCAGTTTTGTAGCTTATCTATTTTCAACGAAACAAGTAAGAAATACTAGAGTCGAGCGGGCTCAACTTTTAAATACCTTCTACCCAATCCCAAAAACAAAACCACTAAATAAAAGTTTTAAAAATGTTTAATTAATTAAATTATCAGTTCTAAAGTAGACCAAGATTACCCCCAATTGAACCACCAAGAGTTCTAACTACTGAGTGTAGCTATGTATGTATAAGGGATGATACGACTAGCGCACATTCTGCCTTGAAATATACACACACAAGCATGCCATCATACAAATTTCACACATCAGACATACATATGTACATACATATTCCTGCCTAGCACGGTCGAGAGCTCGGCCGCTGCCTGCCTGCTCACAACTGCACACCGCCTCTGCCGACCTGAACGATACTGCTCCGGGCAGCGCTGCATGTGTGTGGAGCAGTGTGCTGAACCCTGATATATGTAAATATAAATGAAATGCAAATTAATTTATAACAATTTCACTTTTTTTATGTTTTGGATTTATAATAAAATTAAAAATTTATTCCTTTATGTAATTATTATTGGAACTGATTTTTAAATGTACTGTTTTTTCCATTGCTTTGCGCAATTCGTCTCCTTCTAAGCCTCCAGTCGCAGTAGAATCTACTCTTGCCTTTTTATTTGTTGCAATATTTTAAAAACACGAAATTTACCTACCACATACACATGCACATAATTAACACATGCGTTAAAGGCAAAATATTTCCGTAAACTAAGCGTCGTCACAGAAGTAAAAGCAATCGAAGGGCGGAAAACGCAAAAGAATAGATGAGTAGGTAAAAAAAACGACAGTTGCTTTATATTTGTTGGTGTAATTTGACGAGCGATATTCGCCTAATATTTGTTTCTGTTCCTTGACGGCGAACACAGCACACGAGCATCAAATCGTTTCTTTTAGGACTGTTGCACTGCCTTTCGTTCGTGCAACGAAAAAGAAGGCATAATTTGTTGTATTAACCCAAAGGGTAAAAGGGTATACTTGTTTTGTGCGAATGTGTGTAACACACTGAAGGAGGCGTGGCAGACCCCACAAATTCTTGGTCAGGGTGACAAGCGGAGTCAATATAGCAATGTCTGTCTGTCCGTCTGTATGAGCGCATGGATCTCAGAAGTTACATGAGCTAGAACTGCCAAACTTAATATCCAGATTCCCCTATGACCTAGGCAGGTCTAGGTTGTTTTTTATTCTAATGGGATTATGTGTCCAAATTTGAGTTGAAAATTCTAAGATTTCAAAATGGAAAATCACCAATAGCGGGGGAGTGCATCAGTATTGTCATACTAATCAAGAATACAGAATACAGTCAAAAAAAAAGTTAAAGGAAAATTCGATAATCACAAATCACTAAAGTATTTTATGCAGACATAACGACGGAAAAGTTAATTTTATTCATTTCTCGTGGCTAACGCATTCCATACAGATATTTCGCATATTATATATATATATATATATATCGATCCATAATGCCCGTAATAAAGACCATATGACATGAATCGATATGGCCATGACCGCCTGGATGAATTAAAGGATTTCTGAAGGTACAAGTTATAGCCATAAATGCAATCTCTGTCCAAGTTCTGCCCGAAGCTGTTGTTGTTGCTGCTTGGATTATTTCTGCTGTTGAAACTGTACATAAACATTTATGTATGTATGTGTTGAATATTTAAAGCAGCGGTGGGCACGTAGTGGCTCTTTGGGCTCCCAGGGCTCTGTCCGTTATATTTTGGTAACTGGCAACAGCCAGACGCACAAGCGAAGTACCGATCTCGAGCAAACTTACAATAACAAAATACACGCAGTGTTGTCGCCAGCCAGACGCACAAGTAGAAGACCGAACTTACAAACCTATCGCGACAGAGCTTACAAAAACAAAATACATGCAGTGTTGTCGCCAGCCAGGCGCACAAGTAGATCGATGCAATAACAAAATACACACAGTGTGTACTGATGATCGATTTGCAATACCCGCTGACGGTCACTTATGCACTGACATTCAAAGTGTATTGACAAATTATAAATTATAGTGTTTCAGTAAAACTTTTATGATTTTCGTCAAGTTATTTACTTATAATCTTACTTATATTTGATTTAAAACTGAACAATGGCTAATGAAATTAATATTTCCGAGATTGAGACGCGGTATTTTTTTTCGCTATTAAATGTGGGAGTACATCAGTGTCTTATTTGCGGAACTGTGGTATGTTCAAAAAAAAAATTATAATATTCGGCGGCACTATTTTAATTACCATGAAAATGCATATGGCATGTTGAATGATAGAGAAAGGTTGGAACTTGTTAAGCTAAAGCCAAACAGTATCCATTATTAACATCTTCAATGCTTCAATTAGAAGCAAGTTTTGCCAGCACTTATGTGTGCGAAGCTGCATTTTCAAACATTATATATATTAAAAATGTTTATAGGAATAAATTAAGTGACATAAATTTATCAGATTTATTACGAATTGCTTTAAGTGAAGAGGAAATAGACTTCGAAAAATTATTAAATGAATGTTCATAAATGAGATCAAAATTTTTTTCGGTGTACTTTTTTTTTCTAATTTTTTGCTCGCAGTTTATGATGTTCTCATAACCCAAACGGTAGTTTTTGTTGTAGATGTTGTTGTAGGACTCCCAAACTAAAGTTTCGTGCCCACCGCTGATTTAAAGTAATAAATTAATTTTTTTATACCCTGTACCAGTAGGGTAAAAAGGGTGGTTTGCTGCATTGCACCGAATTTGTATCTTTTTTTTAATTTTCATAATTTGTTAAATTTCTTTAATTTTTAACACATATGTACAGATTATTTCAGTCTTCTTTATCATCTTAACTTGTTTTATACTTTTTTCACAAAGATGCCTTATGTGTGTACGCTGTTCAAGTTTGTTGTTTTAAAATTTTCCACCCACACCCCCAATAATGGGGATTTTTCGTAAGGCTGTTCGTATAATCACCCAACATGCCTTAAATACTCAGAAAATGTGTATTTCAGAATTTCCCTCCCTCTCCCATCACCCCAGTAATTCGAGATTCTCCCATAGTTCTTAGAATTTAAAATTTGGCAAATACCTCCAGTTAGTGATTATTGTCCGTATGCCAAGTGTCATAACAGAGAGAGTGAACGACGTCTTTGCTTACGCTCTGTGTTTTTTATTATTTTTGCCTTTGTAATTAGCCTCTAATTTGTGTATTATTTTTTTTCTTGATGCATATTATGTCTATTTATCCATTACTAGCAGGTTTTGCCCGCCTATGCTGGTTCAGTATTTGTATTTGTATATACTAGCAGGTATTGCCCGTCTTAACCCGGCTCAATATAATGTTTCCAATTGTATTTATTTTGTGTGTGCATAACCTACCTATGTTTTCACCTTATAAGTTACCAGTAGGAAGGCATTTAAGGTATTTAAATGAACATTTTCTGTTCTTGACAAAAAATTGTTCAGTAGTCCGTTACATTTTTGTTCTTGCCAAACTATTTCGTTAAACGAACATGACCACTATAACTAATATTTTTTAAAGCTCGTTTTCCCCCCTTTGGAGCTAGAATTTTCCAAAAGCCTTTCTTAGTGTGCTCCTACACTAGGATGGATACTATGAAAGGATACTTGAGTCCAAATTTCATCTTTTACCGTTTGGGCTGTGCGTTGATCACTAATTAGTCAGGACAAACTGTTTTATATATAGAGATAACGCAACGTTTTAAGATAGACTATGTGCAAAAAAGGGGAATAATTATAAGGGTATATCCTGATTTTAAATTCACATTTGAGTCTTTTCATGCCATATTGAGTCAATACGGTCACGCACAAACTCGGAATATGAAACACGGCACTCGTGTCAATGCCGTGCAGCGATGAGCCATGATCAAAAAGCACTGACAATTCTCATCTCAATTTGCTAGAGTAAAACTTTCGATAGTTGAAGCCACCGATACCATCAAAATATCGAAGTTTGAATGCCATAAGCAGAATATTTAAATAATAAAATCTAATTATTTATTGAGATCAATAAGAACAAATCATATACATACATACATCTGTCCGCAATGCGAAGCAGAATATGCGTAGCTCCGTTATTCGGTTTCTGCTTTACTATCGCTTACGCAGTCGTTGCGTAGCGACGGTAACTGTAAACTTTTGGCGTTTTGCCTTTGCAATTAACATTAAATGGTCAAAACGAAAGAATAAGAGCGAGCCAATGACTTGCAGTTGTTGTTGTTTTTAGAGCATTATTTTTTTTACAATCAAACAACTGTGTTCGATTGCCCAATGTATACATTAATACGAATGTACATACATGCTATATTCATACACAGGCATACATACATATGTATGTTTCTCTTTCCTTTTTTGAAAACCGCACACATAGACACGAACTGTTGCTTGTTGTGTGTGTGAGTGTGTGTATGTGATGTCCCCAACTATTTGATTTTTGTTGTTGCTGCATAAAGTTATTAATGAAAACCCTAATGCCAAATGCACTAAACAGAGAAAAAAATACTTTTAAAAATGTTATATAATTTTCAATTAATTAACATTTCTTGCTCTGTCAGTGCAAGACGAATGTACATACATACATATGTAGATACATATGTACATACATAGATGTGCACATATGTATGGACATTCACACATTAGTGTCTCACATTTTGCTTTGGCTATTTCAATCGTTTGCACGCAACTACAC